TCCAGTTTAAATAAGGTTGACTTGATCAAATCCTGAACTGGTTGTCCTGATCAAATCTTGATTAAAAACGGCGTTACATGGCTGATCAGGATTTGATCCAGTTACCATATCAGATCCTGATCTATCATCAGGGCTGACCTGATCAAATCCTGATCTGGACCTGATCGAAATTTCCACTCGGGCCGGTGGTCAGCATATTTTTCAGTGCAACCAATTGCCTTTTTTCTCATTTATTTCATAGACCGAAAGGAGGGGGAATTGAATCACCGAATTGCCACCAATTTACCATCCGATCATTACATTCAAAAATCAAATGTGAATATTATCCTACGGTGTTGTTAAATTTTTCCAATGGGTCGAAATTATTCGTTACTCTCAGTGCATAATTACTCAACACTATCTGATAAAAAAAAACAGCCCCGTGTGATGTCGATACCGAACTGGTGAAAAAAGGAGGAGAGGAGGAGGGATCCCCCGAAAAAGGGGAGAAATGTAGTTGTCCCCCGGAAGAGTGGAGGGTGTAGGTAGACGTGTGTATGTAGAGCACGTATTCTGTAGAGTTGGACGTTGTGAAGGAGGTTGAAATCGGCGGGGAAGACGAAGAGGGAAGGAGACGATGTGGAGAGGGGTTGCATCTAGTAAGAGGGTGAGCGAGCCTCTGTCTAATCGATGCCGCGGTGGTGCGCGCTCGCCCCGCTGGCTATTACGCACCTTAATGTCCTCTCCACCCTCTCCACCCTCTTTACCCCCTCGGTCCCACCTCACCCCTCTCACTCATTCTGTCTGTGCCATCATACACTTCCCTCTCGCCTCCTCTCATCGCGACTCGCGCCCCTCGTCTCAACATCCCGAGAGAAAGACACCCCCCGAAGCGGCCATGACACGTGTCAATCTACCGCAGACGCCCGATCGATACCGACGGACTGTCGACTCTCCTCCATACTATTTCTCCACACACACTCCTTATACACCCCCGGCATATCCTTTTTCCCGTTACCTCACCCACTACTCCATTCTCCTTTTATCAGCCCTCCCCTCACCTCCCGCACCTTATCACTACCACTAAATGGGGTGGTGGGTGGATTCTTCTTTTCTCATCGGGTAGCGATCTCAGTACAAAGACGTTTGCGTGACGAAATCTCATCGACGAGGCTGTATTTCGTAAGGCAGATCGCCTCGGCTCTCATGTCAGATATCCCTGGTTTCAAGTGAATTAACTTTTTATGGACGAGAGGATGATTGTTTTATGGTTCAATAATGCAAGCCTCGGGGAATGGTGGTTTTGATTTTTGTAGGAAATGTGTGGGAGATTTTTTGGGTGGAGACTTGATTCGGAAATTTCACGTTTTTTTTTGGAAAATTCAAATGGAAATTCAGGTCGTGGAAAAATGAAAAAAATATGGTAATGAAAATCGATATCATCAATATAATTAATTCAAAAAAATATTTTCAACGTAAAAAATATATTATATATTTTCTTTCAATTAAAATAAAAAAAACGTAAGTTATTATATAGATGAAATTTTATCGGACAATCGGATGTTCCATTTTCTGACAATTCTCCCGTTGTGCCCCACCCTCTTCAATATGGCAGACCGCAGGAAGGATATTCTCTGTTTTTCTCTGAGAATATTTTTTTTCTGCGGGAGTCGTTAGTTTTTTATCGGGCTTATTGAGAAGCCGTCAGTGATGATGTCGAGGTGGCTAAAGGTTCGGGGGTATTTTAGACAGACAGATTGACACATTATGTCGTTAAACTGTATATCGCCATTAACGAGGTTATTGAGATCGATCAACAATGAATGGAGCCCTCAAAGGAGCCAATCAGACAATTGTCAGGTGGAAGATAGCCGGCTGTGTCCGAAGCAATATGGCTTCGTGATAGAAAAGAATAGAGGAATTTACGTTTGTCCAGGTATATCAGGTGAGATTACTCAACTCATCTATTTTATCCAAGGGAAATATTTATTTGCATTCTCGGTTCATTGGATGACTCTGACTGACAGCTCTTGCAGTCCTTCCACGCTTATTCAAAAAACGAATATCTATATACGAAAAAATAAAAAATAAAAATAATAATTGGATAATTTCATCATTATCTAAAAATAATATATTGAGATGGTCCGAGGCATCTAATTAATGAGAGACTGTTCCTGCGAGAGGAGGCAATAAATCCAGTATTCGAATTAATAAATGAGACGATTCTATTCAGCGGATTTTTTAAAACTCTCAAAGGGAAGAGTTCCAAATGTATTTATTAGTAATAATGACCCGATTTGAGTGAAATCGGGTCGATGCTTGGTTAATTGTCAATGACAGCTGATATCTAGCGGTATTGGAGAGGATTACTTCATTTTTTAATTCTTCTCCTCCACAAATCACTCATTCGACGTGAATTACTACAACTCAAGCAATCTGATGAGATTTGGGGGACGGAGAATTGAAAATTTATTGAATGAAAATCTACGAAATATGTGTGTTGAAAGATGGTGGATATGTAAAGACCACCGCCGTTGTTGAAAAGTCTCCACCCACAGATTTTCGAGCGGTCAATTTTCAAACTCCCCAAGAATTCGGCGTCTATACCTGAGCTCTAGATCCATAGTTTCCATTAGATAATACCTCCATTGACCTTGCGTCACATATATTTTACTTACCTTTCGAGCTACATGAAAAAAAAAAGACACTTAAAATCTTCATTTTACATTTATTCTCGTTTTATGGCTCCTCTAATTCTCACCGGAAATGGACTATCGGAACAAAAATGGCTGGAGGAGAGATAATGTTTATGAATTGACGCATTGCTATATCTCGAGAATTCGTTTGACCTCGACATTTTTTTGGGGAAAATCGCGTGAAAATCTCTCAGATCCCGAAATTTTTCTTCAAAACTTGACTAAACAGAACGAAGAACAGGACAACTTATTATCCTCTACCTTTTCGTTACGAAAATGATTTCTGCAGATGTAGCCAGCCAAAAAAACCCTGATATTTGCAAAAGTTTCTTGATCTGAATATATTCAACTCCCCCGTAAATTGTAAAATAAAATGAAATTTTCCAGAGGTAGAACGAGACTCATGAACAATGCAAAATAATAACAACTTCTTTTACTCCTGAAGTTAATGTGATGAGAAGAAATGGAACAAGAGGAGGAAACGAGAGAAAATGAAAAGGTGTTTCATAACAGAGGGGTAGTGGGGAGAAAGTTGTGGGGGATTCCAGGTCGAATGAGACATACTTTACGGGTCAACGGAAATAGCCCGAAAAAAAAAAATGAAGAAAGATGATTAGAGAATGCTTCCGCAAGGTTACATAGCCGTCGTTTGCCTAAAGATTTGTTTGAAAGTAATGGAACCGATGGTTAAACGCGGAAAAGTCGCAGGTGGACCCCCGCTGGAGTATACAAATGCCATTCATCCATCCACCCAACGTGAATTATCCCGATGAATATCACACTGTATCTGCCGTATATTACGTCTATCAATAAATATTTCAATGATACGTAGGCGATGATCCGCTTGGAATAAACAGATAGCTGAAAATATCGTGGGTGAAGCGATTCTGAGTGATTTATTCCGGGGGTTTTGGAATTCATTACTGGGGTAGAATTATTTATTTTTATAGCACGTCCCGATCGTTATCGATGTAGGAAGCTTCTTTGGTACGTGATGTATCTAATAATTACACAGAGACCGAGCAGTTGTACATGGAGAAATTTATTAATTCAGCTAATTTGATCTGGAGAATTTTTAACCCGGCATTGCAGTACAAAATATGGTAAGTAGTGTCAACGTTTTTATACAATATTATTTCTAGTGCTCAATATTGAAGTTCTATCGTTCCTAATATTTTATTAATTCTTACGGAAAATTAAAATCGTGAAAATTCGCAATTTCTACATATTTTTCCTTGATGATATTAATTTTCCTCAAGTTCCAGAATAGAAATTCCTTTGTCACGAGAGCCAATTCTTCTGAAAACGCGCCAAAGGTCATGTTTTTCGTTGATAAAGCGAACAGCAAACAGAATAGGATATTCTGTAACGTCCATTCGAAAAAAGACATTCATCACCCAAAGCTTGGAAGGTCAGTTGAGGTAACCTTCCTCGAACATTGCGTAACGGTACACCAGCAAAAAAAAAATGGACACTTGCCCGTCAACTACTTCATTCCCTCGGAAGAGTCCTTTTGGTTGCAACAAACCGAGACAATCTGCATCGAGGATCCATCCTTCCGTCATCTCCGGTCATTACAGCAGACTTACGTAAGTGTAATGCCATCATCAGTTATACCCAGGCGATTCGCTGGGGATAAATAAATTTTCACGTTTATTGTCCGGGACAGATGAAAAACAGAAGATAAGCTAAATCATAACCAGTGGAGCTGGAGCTGGAGAAACCGAAAATATAGCCGCCCATTGCAAGTGTATAGAGTGATATTTGTGATCAATATAGAGTGGAGAATAGCAGTTGGCCCCGAAGTCTATCTCCTCTCTCTCTTTATCGTTGAGTTTTTCCCTTCAGTCCTGGAGTAGAGAGTGGTTGTGGTTGCAGCCTAAGAAATGCCCCCATAAACGTCCCGCCACCAATGTCGCCCATCTACAAAGTTGGGAGAAAAGCGACCTCCTTGTTCGTAAAGCAAGTCAATGAAAGAGTGGGGCCCCCCTTTCCGAAATTATAACAATCCCAGAATGCCATCGTCGTCTTTTCTCATGATGCTCTTCTTGCACCAGCCAAAAATCCAGATATTAAGTTGTCAGAAGTTCCTTAACCCCTGCTCGATATTTATCAGGCTAGGGCCCTGGACGGAAAATAGGTTCAGTGGAAATTAGACCTCAAAAGGGCGAACCTTCGCACTTGACTTTTACCCACACTATTTTATTTTATTATTATTACCACCAAAAACATGAGCAGATCCACTACGCCATTCTATTCCAAATCTTCAAGATAAATCTTCCCCCAAATTTTTCGCTAAAAAGGTAGTCTGTCACATAACGATGACAACCTCGCACCGACGTGGAGCGAAATTTTCTGATTCCACTGAGAAGAAAAATAGTGTCTGACCGGAGAGTTGTGCGACATCGCCACTAAATCGGCGGTCGTGCACTTTTAATTGACAGGAATGTTTAGCGGGGTAATGAACGCCCGCGATATCGGTATGAGGGGTTGAAGGGGCTGGTGGGGAGGAGAATGATGAGAGTGAGGAGGGGTGAGGTGGGTATATGAAAAGAAGAAAGAAGAGTGGCGTATAGAAAGAGTTGATGTACACTGTTGCAGCCACAACGAGAACTCCGGTGACTAGATAGAGACACGGCTACAGGAGCATAAACATATCGTGTGCTCGATGGGGCTTGGAGGTGCGCGCGATCTCGGCATTTGTGGGCGGGTGTTGTTGCAGACCCGTACGTACCTCGGCTTTTCAGACAAACGTAGTGGGGGTGTTCTATGACGCTATAGATCACTTCGGCTCCGCCCATCACTGTACACCAGGAGGTGTGGCCTATTTTACGCGGTTCGCCCTGTAGCGCCGCGGTGTGGTGATCCTATGAGGTGCGTCATCCCACGGCAAGTAAATAAACCCGCCAAAGGAGTTTATAGCAGTTTGATGTATTCATTGTAACTTCATAAAAACACTCCCAATCGGAAAACCCGGAATATTTACAGACTTTATTTTTCGGCCAATACGATCACTTCACATTCATGTTCGTCACTTCAATCTCGAGGTTATCATTCATTGGGTGTTTTGAAACTCGTATCCCGAAAATTGAAAATACTAACTGTTGATTCGTGTCAAAGCTGGTGTGACAATCTAATTCGTTTTAATGTCATTTGGGTTATCGTCGTTTTGAGGTTTAAGGGGTTTTTAGGTTAGCCAGGGGAGACAACTCGATTTCGATATTAAATCATAAAAAATACTCACCCCCTGATTTCTCATGAGTTGTCGGAATTTAATTTTAATCAATTCACACCAGCATTACAGTTAAAATCACGTGTAAAGACTGAAAAATTGGAGAAATCCTGAGAGACTCGCACAAGATGTTTTCGTTGCACCGTAGTTCGAGCGTCAACCGTCGACGCGCTGCGATAGATTGAGTGGTCGCGGGAGGGGTGTAGTGGGGGGGTGGAGGGAGATACGCAGAATGACCGCCTCGAAGATGCAAGATCCCGCCCATTGCATTGTGCATGTCGTTAAGACCCTCATATTCACATGATCTCATTATTCACTTGGCGTGAATTTCCCGTGAATTTCTCGTGAATTTTTTGAAATCACGTTGATGTTTTTTACGAACGACTTGTATAATGAACACCGGGAAAATCGTAATAGTTTATTGTTGATGGGAGTGGAGACGTTGGTTGGACGGAAAAAGGAGTTGCGAGGAATTGTATGAAAATTGTTTCCCCCGAATAAATAAGAGTTGACCGCGAGGCGAGGAGGGGGGTTAAGGGGGAAGGTGGGAGGGAGGAGGACCGAGGGAGCGAGGACCTCCCCCACCACGCGGCGTTTCACCGCGACGCCAGTCCGCAGTCAGTCAGCGCTGGACCGCCGCCCGCACGATTTCAAAAGCTTATCATGTTGGTGATTTTGTTGAGTGCTTGAGCAATAATAAATACCACTGACCCCAAAACAATTGTCGTGCGCTTATAGTGACGTGGATTTGTGGTAAACGAGTGTTAGAGAATTGGTGACATAATTTTTGGGGGGAAAAGTGGTGAATTTGTTATTTTTTTTCGTCGCCGTTTCATAACCTCGCCCGACGCTCCACTGAAAACCTCCCCGTCAAACCCTCGCCCCACCTCTCGATAAAAATTAACACGCCCACGGGTTTATTTGACTTTCTAGGGTTTTTTGCCGCTCAGTTGTTGGCCTGCCATGGACTAGGGAATTGTCGTTGATTTTTGGGGATTGGATAATGGATTTTGCTGACGAATGCCGGGGATAAGTGATAAATCAATTGTGGAATATTCGGGCACGAGTGGCTGGACAGTGATTGACAGTAGAGGGACATAGATAATGTAGAAAATTTTATATCCATTACTGCTTCTCTCCAATAATTCGAGTGTCAGTGCTGTCGTTTGGTTTTTTTTTTGGATTTAATGAATTGTACGGATTTTTATTTTCGGCGCACCAGTTGAGTGATAGTGAGTGATTAAACAGTTTATTTTGTGGTTTATGGGAGAGGTTGTGAGTGGGGGGAGGTGATTTAGTGGTCATATGACGCTGAGAGTGACGGATTTTTGTGGTTCGGAGCAACGGGTTGGCTGAGGACTTTGCCGGGGTGATTGGTGAGGGAAATCGAGGGAGACAGATGCCTCGAAGGAAACAGCACGCGCCGCAACGCATGAAATGTAAGTTTTTTTAAATCTTTTGAAGAGGCGAGGGGATTTTTTGGGGAGGTTCTGAGGGAGGAATGGGGTTGGGGATGGGAGGTACGGGATGAGTGTTGGCGCGCGCCACGCCGTTCTCTGTCCACGTGGGAGACCATGAGGCGCAAACAATCTCGTTTCTACGGACAACCCATGTGTACAGCTGATAAATTTATACACCGGCAGAAATATTCAATAAAAATTACATATTCGTCATAATATCCGAGCGAAATGAAAAAATCATGCGAAACTGACGGCGAATTTTTACTGGGTGTTCTGTTATTATTTTTTTCAAACGCCCTCATTTTTGCTGAAGACCCTTTTGATAAAATTTTTTCAAGTGAATTACTACTCATTAGGGTAATTTTTTAAGAAAATTTTTATCCGTGTAAACCGGCATTTAATAATCATGTAGCGCATTTTACTCTGACGTTGTAGTAAAAAACAGAACGAGTTTGGTAAAAAGTTGCAATATTATTTTTTGTTAAGCTCATCATTAAACTCATCATTTTTAACTATAATGTCAGGGTAAATTTTATGACTTTTTTGTCCTGGAACCGCCAATTTTCACTGACCAATTTCTGCTGTTATAATAATATGATAATCAGAAAGACTCGCCTTATCGCTCTAAACGAAGAAAAACTTCGTTTTGAAAAACTTCAAAAAATTGAATAGTATTCAGTAATATTATCCATCATATAATTGTTCCGGTATACGATAGATTTTTTTTCCGGTAATTCTCATTGAATTTTTGTCCCTCTGTGGAGTTGCTACTTCTGGCAGAAGTATTTTTTTTGCTCTCAGTGTATCAGGTTTTTGAACGGAACTGTTAAAAAATCTCTTGAGTTGTCATCGAGAGTCAAAAGAATGTATTATTCTTCATTTGTGCATAAAAACGTTAGATCTATGCACTCCATCCACACTAACCGATAAACCAGTTGGCGTATGCACTCGGGGCTTGAGGGCATAAATCTCCCAGCGGAAGAGTTTCTCAAGTGGAGTTTGTTGAAATCGCGAGGCATTCTATACCCACAACGAAAAATGACTCCACAATGATTCCCCTTCTATTAGAACACGCAATTAATCTCAATCATTCCTCCAACTCATTTTACCGTATGATAAAAATCCAAATCAATGTCAGTGGTGATAAATATCACAACTTTTTCGCTGTGTTGCAAACACTCGCCAATAATATGCGTTCAATGAGGATGCTAATTAATTCAGTGACCCATAGGGCAATTACATTCACATTATAATTATAATAATCAATCGATGATTTTAAAAAATTGGAATCACTATCATGCTACATTTCTTTGGAATTATTTTGAGGAATTATTTTATTGCGGGGATCATTACCATTTTCCAGTTTTTTTATTTGATTTTTGGATAATTTTTTTTTTGATGGATTAATTTAATCAATAGCAATGGAGACAATTTATAGTGATGAAAAAAAAATACTTGAACTTCCAAAACTGGAACTTTTTTATAAAAAAAAAAAATACAGAAGTTGACTTAACTTGAATTTTTCGAAAAAATAGTTTTTTGAGCGTGGGCTGAATTGGGTGCGAGTAACTTTGCTGGCGAGTCTCGCGATTCTTCAATGTCCCTCCTCCTTCGAGCATCCTCCTTTTCCCTGTCCTCCCACCGATCGTTTCACTCTTGATCCTTTCATATAGTGAATCACTCGTTGGATCGGCGTGCACATAAATCGAACACACCTGACAGCCGATTCAACCGAAACGCGGTTGGAATTCTTTGGTTTGGTACCCTTGCGAAATAGGGTGGGGGGATGTATGGGTGCCATAGTGGTTTCAGTTGTTCGATGGTGTCCCATGGAATAAGCTGGCCAGACTCTGATTATGGCGATGCCTGCCTGCGAAACAATGGAGGGGATAATAAGGGTCAAATGGGATTTCTTTATTGAGTAGCCATTTTTTTTTTACTCCACGATAAGTTGAGGGTTGCCATTGTTGTCGATGAAATCACGGATCATTATTTTTTCAGATGTTGAAAAATTGTCAGGGGTTTTGGCTTGTTCACTGAGAGGAAAAATTATTTCTGACAAGTGCATGCCGGAATTGTTACTTCAAGTTCTTTTTCTTCCATTTTATTTCTCAATTCAATAAATTGACGAATCGCAACGTGAGTTTCACAAGCGTCCAACTGTTCACGGATGATTTAATGATTAAGAGATTTTACATATTCACTCATTTATCCTAGATTGAAGTGAAATAAATCTCTCTGTCAAAAACATTTACATCTTTATTACAAAAATTTTGAATAATGGAAATCGTGGTTTGAGTAGATAGATGATTTCTACATTCATCGGGAAAAAGTTTCTCCCAGCAAGGTCGCAACTCGTGAATCATCTTTTCCTCATTCTTAATTATTCAGAATTAAATTGTTAGATAGACGTGATTATTCATTAGAGCAATATCCAGAGCTGATCATTGATGACTGAGAACGCGGATAAATAAATCGTGACGAATCAGTTAATTTTTCGAATACTCTGGTAATCCTCTCCAATGCTGTTCCGTCATTTTTACCAAATATATGAATAATTTCCAAAATGCCATAAAAAGCTGAATAGAGTCAAAACGATTTCGTTTTTCTTGTGACAGTGCGTATCAAGAGGTACGTGGGCGTACCGAAGAAAATATATAGCGTCGCGATAAATTTTCAACGAGCACGCATTCCCTTTTGATTCTCACGGGCGATTAATCTCTCGCAAGTTCACACGAGAGGGAATGAGAGGGCTGAGGACGTTCGATGCTTTTATTTTTATCTCGCATGGCCTCAAGACACATTTTCTCAATATTTTTATCCATGTGGTAAAGACCAAAAATTCAATGCTAAATATGAAAAAGGGGCAAACCCGTTTTGCCCCAGGGGCTTTACAAATATTTATTTATTTTGTGTTATTCGAAGCATTACAATTTTTTTTTAATGCTCATCCCATAATTCGTGTAATAATTTAATTGGTTTATAAATTAAGATAGACACAAATTTAGATAGAATATTTGAATTATGGAAAGAGGCAAAGATGGGATTGGAATGTCGAGATATAATTAAAAAACCCATTGAGCATTAAAAATTTCTAATAGTGCATTGGAATACTGAAATGTTTAGTCGAATGATTCTTATTGAGCCGAGAGCTGAGGAGTTCGTGACTTGCCTCCAAGAGAGAGAAATCCAAGATGAGAGAATGAAAGAGTGACGTTTATTTCTGGATGGACGGATGAAAGGAGTATCTCGCGATGCCTTAACGATCCCCACGCGAAATCCGGGAAAATTCAGTGGTGGATAGCGCAAACTAGCCTGATGCTCATGCCCGGAAAATGAGTGATACGCTGAGAGAATCACATCATTTATTCAAATGACCAAGTTACTTGGTGACTCGCCGGGCATCAAGCTTTATATTTAGTATCAACGCAGCTAGTACTCGTTAGTACAAACTACATTGATTCGAGAGGACTGAGCGTCAGGGATTTCATACGGAACATTTGGATTATCATCATCTTGAGTGACAACTCATCACAGCAATTGATGCAATGAGCTGAATATGTTTTTCTCAACAATATGATATTTGTCATATTTTTTTTATGATTCTCACCCCAAAATATTCTGGCAATATTTTTCCACGTGAGAAAAAAAATACTGAATTCAATTAATTT